CAGGCAGTGCGGGCCAGATGCTCCCAGGCGGCCACATAGGCTCAGGATGAGGCAGTGGTGGCACAGGTCAAGCATTGGCCAGGCCAGCCTCCCCTCACTCCCTTCAGGGGTCTGGGCAGAACCCTTAAAGCCCGGAGGCTTCAGCGAGGGGGTTTCTCTCCAGGGTAAGCAGTGCTGCTCGCCCCGGGCTGCCCTTAGAGATGCCCAAGAGAGGCCAGTCACTGTTTGTGCCCCGGGACACCATTTGCCTTGGGCGGGCTCCTGAGAGGGGACCCCCGTCTGGCTTTGTCAGCCAGGGAGGAGTGCAGGCGGGATCCCCTGACACCCCCCCCCAGCTATGGCCACTCTCCACTCAGCAGCAGCGCCGCCGCCGCTCGTTGGCAGAGCCTTTCCTCCCGTAGGGTGTGGACCGTGGCCCAGCACCTGCCTGCTCATCTGCATGCCTTCCTCCCTCCCTCGGGGACTCCCGGGTGCCTGCCTTGTGCCATCAGCTCACCAGGACCGTGGGCCCGATGCTGCAGGCATGGATGACATGAAACCTGACCGGCTGATCAGCCATCCGCCGTGCCCCACGTGCCCCACGTGCCCCATGTGCCCCATGTGTGCCACTTTTGCAGCGCCAGCCGCAGCCCCGCCAGAACCACCTCCACCACCGCCTGTCCCGTGCAGCCCCGCTGTGTGAAGCGGGTCCCACAGCACCACCCGCACATCACACCGATGGTTTAGCGCTTGAATTTGCCGCCCAAGCTGGATGCTAGTGGGGGGTTGGGGAAGGTGCGGACGGCAGGCAGGCCCAGGTGGCAGCAGGCCTTGCAGGCCAGATGCTCCTGGGCGGCCATGTAGGCTCAGGATCAGGCAGCAGCGATGCGCAGGTCCAGCACTGGCCAGGCCAGCCTCCCCTCCCTCCCTTCAGGGGTCTAGGCAGAACCCTTAAAGCCCAGAGGCTTCAGCAAGGGGGTCTCTCTCCAGGGTCAGCGGTGCCGCTTGCCCCGGGCTGCCCTTAGAGATGGCTGAGAGAGGCTGGTTATGGTTCGTGCCCTGAGACGCCCAGCTTGCCTCAGCCCGGCACTTGCCTGCCTGCCTTCCTCCCTTGGGGACTCCCGGCCGCCTGCCCTGCGCTGTCAGCTCACCAGGACTGCAGCCCCAATGCTGCAGGCATGGATGACATGGAACCTGGCTGGCTGCTCAGCCATCCGCCGTGCCCCACGTGCCCCATATGCACCACTTGCGCACACAGCGCCAGCCACTGCCCCACCAGGAACACCTCAGGTGCTGCCTGTCCTATGCAGCCCCACTGTGTGAAGCGGGCCCTGCGGCTCCCACAGCATCACCCGCACACCACACTGATGGCACACGAGGTGAGCATGCTTTTTCGGCAGGGCAGAGTTAAGCATTGCTATCCACCTCCCACCCCTGGTCCTCTTTTGCTTATAAGTAGTAGAGTAGAAGATGGCGTTCTGTAGTTGCTCAGCAGGGATGGGTGGAAAGTTCCTGCAAAGTCTCCTTTGCTGCAGAGAACTTGCAGCAACGTTTGCCGGCTGGAATATTTGGCACACTCAGTAGTCCAGAAACAGCCTTTAATGGCCAGGTCTGGACAATTCGAAAGTTAATAGAATAGAGTCTACTCTATTGGTGTTTGAAAGCCAATAGATTAAGAGTCTATTCAAATAGAGTCTATTCTATTGGCATTCAAAAGCCAATAGAATAGAGGGAGTAGCACAGCTCATGGAAAAGTTGAAAAAATCCATCAAAAAACATGCCGGAACGCCGTTCTGAGCATTCTATGCGAAAAAAAGCCCTGGTCTTTGGCGACCCCTGTGAAATGGTCGTTCGACCCCCAAAGGTTGAGAACTGCTGTTTTAGGGACTCCATACAGCCTATAAATATGCTGCACAAACATTTTGGCCAAACTCTTAACTGAGGGAAGCTTTGGACAGGCTACAAAGTGTGCTTGTTTTGAGAATAGGTCAACTATGGTCCATATTACAGTATTTCCAGTATTCTCAAGCAGTTCCACAATGAAATCCATGGCTATTTTTCCCATGGTCTTCTAGGGTTAGTCATAGGTTGTAATAAACCCAGGGTTTTCCCAAGCAATCGCTTCATGGAGGTGCAAACTGAACAAGTAGCAACATATTCTTTTATGTCTCTTTTCAGTTTTGGCCACAAAAATTGTCTTTTCACTAGATGAAGGATTTTTACAAGCTCAAAATGGCCTGATGCATCATGTGCTCTTTCTAACACTATCATTCTTTGAATATCCAGGACGTACACTTTTGTCCCTTTCCATGTCATATCATGTTTTATAATTAGAGCATCTTTATGGTTCTGGAACCAAGTATCTTATTCCAAAGCCTCTTTAAACTTTTGCCTCAGTGAATCTAATGCTAACCTGAGGGTTTTCCCCTGTGCAGAACCCCTCGAGCTGGAGCTGCGAGCTGGCTGGAAGGGATTATAGAATTTACTACTTGTTCCTTGCTACTTTTGTACTGAGGCATATGTGAAAGAGCATCAGCCAAAACATTTTCCCACTTGGTATATAATGGAGATTGAAATTAAATTGATTAAAATATTAAGCCCACCTTACTTGTTTGGGGACAATTTTCTCGGGGTCTTTAAAGCATCTAAATTCTTATGATCTGTCCACACTTTGAATGGGATTTTACTACCCTTTAAAAACTGTCTCTACATTAGGAGAGCCCAGTGGACAGTAAAGGCCTCCTTTTCCCACACAGCCCACTTTCTCCCAATGTCTGATAACTTTTGAGATGTATAAGCACATGGTTGTAGCTCTTCTTTCTCATTTTTTGTAGCAATACTGCCCCCACTACCACATCACTTGCATCCACTTGAATTACAAATGGCTTCTCTAGGTCTTCATGTCTTAAGAGTGGTTTTGCAGCAAAACGCTTTTTTAGTTTTTTCAAATGCCACTTGAATTTGAGGGTTCACCCTAAGGATTTACTTAGTTTGGACTTAATCCCTTTCCCAATTTTTAATAAATTTGTTATAGGTAAAGTAAATGTAGGAATAAATTGTCTATAGAAATTTCCAAATCCCCAAAAAACTTTGCAATTGTCTTCTGGTCCGGAAGCTTCTCACTCCAGTATTGCCTTTACTTTCCCTGGATCCATTTCTGTGCCTCCTGCAGGAACATAATCCCCAAATAATCTAATCTAGTTTTTAAAAAATCTCATTTTGACAATTTGGCATACAGCTGGTTTTCTAATAACTTTTTTAACACTGCTCTTACTAGCTTTAAGTGTTTTTCCAGCATTTCCATGTAAATTAAAATATCATTTAAATATACCAACCTTATACAGATAGTTTATCAATTGCATGATAAACTGCAACTGTCCTTTGTAGCCCAAACGACATCACTCTGAATTGATAACACCCTAAATGGCAATTAAATGCAGTTTTCCACTAATCCCCTTCTTTAATCCTTACTCTGTAATAGTCTTCTCTCAGGTCCAATGCTGTAAAAATGTTCCCCTTAGGTACACTAATATATCTTTCATAAGGGGGAGGGTGTACATATTTTCCACTGATCTAGCATTGAGATTTTTATAATTCATACACATTCTAAGGCCCCCATCATTTTTATCTCTAAATAATATAGAGGCAGCCATTTTTGATTTAGCAGGTTGAATGAACCCCTGAGCCAGGTTTTTATCTAAAAATCCTCTAAGTTCTTCCATTTCTTTAGGTGTCATAGATACCAAGTATCTTTGGTTTAAGAAATTTAACACCTGGGACTATATTGCATAGTCAGTTGGTCGATGAGTGGGAGTACATCTAATTCCTTTTCACCGAATATGTCAATTAAGTCTCTGTATTCTGTTGGAATGCTGTTCTCTAACTGCCTGTCTGCTTTTAGTGTATTTTCTGCCAGCACTTTTGATTTCTCAACCACCGGCTTATGGCAAGCAATCGAGGTCTCCTGCAGCTTTTGTGGATTGATTACTCTTTTCTTCATTTGCTACTTATTGTTATTCCAATCTATTGAGGGATTCCATTTCTTTAGCCAAACTAATCCTAAAATCATATTTTCTGTCATCCCAGGGGTTACAATAAAACAAATTTCAGTATGATTTTCAAGCTTTATACTCACTGGCTCAGTGAGATAGGTTGCAGATTCTCCCCCCATAAGAGACTCATCTAGCTGCTCAAACCCCATGAGTTGTCTCAACTTTTTCTACTGATCACACACCTTGTGCATCCCGAGTACAGTAAGACTGTGAATGTCTCCTTTGCTCCCAAGAAGGGTGCAAACAGTTCTACCCTGGTATCCCAAATATACATTTTCAGGAGGCAACTGGACTTTCTTGTTTTTCTTTGAAGACATTTTGCTTCTCATCCAAAAAGCTTCTTCAGCTCTGACTAGATGGTGAGGAATGGAAGAATTTATATTCCATGACCTGGATGACTGAGAATCTCCATAGACATTCTATTCTGGTAGTCATCAGGGAAATAGGATCATTTTCCATTTGGTCATCCTCCCTTTTGCTGTCACTGTCACAGAAAACAAGTCCAAAGGAGCTGGAGTTCTCTCCCCTTTGTTGGATAGGGAAGAGACCTCTGTGACCTGTTGAGCAACTTTTGTTTATTCTTTGGAGTTTGGTTCCAGCTTCTTTGTCTTAGTCTTGCTGGGAGCTCAGCTTGCTGACATTGGGTGTGATGCAGGACAATCAGTGGCTCGGTGCCCCCCTTTTCCACAATAGAAGCACACTCCCATACCTAGAGGGGTCTCTCCCTTCTGGTCTCTGGAACATTTCTCTTGCTTCCTCAGCCAGCTGGGTATCTCTCAGCTGCACAACGAGGTCGGTTGTCTTGACTAGTGTGATGTCAGTAATCTATCAAATCTAATTCCACATCGACAGCCAACTGGTACCAATCTCTGAGGAGATTGGGCACTCCTCTGGGTAGGCAGTTGTCATACAATTCCTTGTTTAATCCATCTCGGAATTGGGAAAACAACATATGTTCAGTATATCCTTTTAAGTGGCCACCACGCTACAAAAATCCCTAATGTAATCAGCAATTACTCGCTTCTCTTGCTTGATTGTCCAGATTCTCACATCTGCCTTCCTTGCCTTGGTGGGATCTTCAAACTGATTCCGTAGCTCTTGCATGAAGGCATCCACATCATGGAACTCTGAGGCCACCTCATCATATAAGGATACCAAACATTCCTCTGCATCCCCTTCCAAGTTCACAGAAATAGCATTCACCTGTGATCCATCATCAGGGAGTCTACCTCCATATCTTTCTAAGTAATTCCCCACCTGGGTCAGAAAGTAACCCAACTTCTCTGGTCAGCTGTCAAACATGACTTTAAAATGAGGAGGCTATTGATCCTTCCACATCACCTTCTGGGTTATAAGTCAGCACCTGGTTGTGCTGCCTGAGCTCCTCTCCTTTCAGCTGTCCAATGGCCAGTGGTGTCCCAAGACTTGTTAGGCTAAGAGTTACTGGGGTGCCAATCTCTGTTGCTTTCATCCCAGACCAGCCCAAAACTACTGGCTGTTGGTGGGGTGGTGATGGTGTAGCAAGCTGGTGAGCAGGGACCACAACCGACCACTTCAGTGGGGCAGCTCCTCGAACCTCCAATTGCCTGAACTTCTCTCTCAATTGCTCCATGGAAGGGCTATGAATAGACACAAGAAGCCTCCACTCTCTCTGGCTCTCCTGCTTCTGCTGCCCTCTTATTTGCCTTCATTGGTCAAGCTTCTGATGAAATCAGATGAAATTCAGCTTATGCTGCTTTCCTGAGGCCACTCATCCATGTAGTTCTTGGTGCTGGACAAGGAGCTTCCATGTGCTTCCCTCCTCCAGCAGTAAGTGGTGGCTCTATCGATTCCGCTTTCTGTTTCAGATGAGCCTGGGTTGATAAGTCTGCCTCTCCCATTTGGATTAAAGCTGACTACCACAGAGGGGAACTATCCCATGTTGTCCCCCTCCATCTGTTTTCTTGTCCATTGCAAGTCTCACTATATCCCAGCATTCCTGGGAGGAAAACCCAGATAGGCTGCTAAAGAGAATTAGTTTAATGCAGTGGTTCTCAACCTGTGGGTCGGGACCCCATTTGGGGTCAAACGACCATTTCACGGGGGTCGTCAAACAATGCAGCCCACCATTTTTTCCCCTTTTCCTTAGCTGTGCTACTCCCTTTTATTCTATTGCAGTGGTTCTCAACCTGTGGGTTGGGACCTCATTTGGGGTCGAACGACCATTTCACAGGGGTTGCCAAACAACGCAGTCTGCCATTTTTTCCCCCTTTTCCTTAACTGTGCTACTCCCTTTTATTCTATTGGCTTTTGAAAGCCAATAGAATAGACTCTCTTGAATAGAGTCTAATTCTATTGGCTTTCAAAAGCCAATAGGAATTGTCCAGGCTGTCTCTGCCCTGCTGAGCCCACCAAAAGTCCCATTCTGCAATCGGTGCTGCACCAGTTAAATAGTCCTCAACTTATGACCGGTTGAATAGCCCTTGACTTACGACCGGTTGGGGGGTCGCGGCATTAAAAAGGTTGAGAACCACTGGTTTAATGTCAACATTCAGCTCAAGAATCCAAATAAATTCCAGGTTCATTCCATTTCCAAAAATCTTACGGTTATTAAATGCACTGCATGGTAATGTCAAAACAAAACTCTGAGGTTCCAACACCAGATCATAGATTTAAACAATAATTTTTCCAGCCAAAATCCCAATTTCTTACATAGTCCATATAAACAAGCTCATTTTGTTATTGGAACCATCTGTCTCAAATCCACACCTGTTATGGTGTCCATGAAAAGATTTCAGGTTCTCATGGTCTTCAGTGGAATCATAGAAGTTTCATTTCTCCATCTAATCCACTTGAAAGTAACACCTCTCCCCTTACTTTAAAGGCATGTTGAAATGCAAAGGCATGTAGCATCCTTGACACTAAGTATGTCTAGCCCAGAGGTAGAGACCCTTGGCTGTTTTATGACTTGTGGACTTCAATACCAGAATTCCTGAACCAGCCATGCTGACTCAGCAATTCTGGGAGTTGAAGTCCACAAGTCATAAAAGAGCCAAGGTTCCCTACTCCTGGTCTAGCCTAACAAAGAGAAGGTCTAGGGATTATATGATAGCAGTCTTCCAGTATTTGAAGAGCTATCACAGGGAAGAAGGTTTCAACTTATTCTCCAAAATTCCTGAGAACAGGACAAGAAGTAACAGGTGGAAGATCATTAAAGAGAGATCCAATGTGGGAATGAAGAGAAATTTCCTATGAGAATGATTAATCAATTACCTGCAGAATCAGCTTATGAAATCAGTTTGCCTCTGGAAGTTGTAGATGCTCCATTACTGGAGATTTTTAAGAAAATATTGTCTGAAATGGGTCCCCTACTTGAACAGAAGGTTGACTAGAAGACCACCAAGGTCCCTTACAACCCTATTATTCTATGTTCTATGGAAAACAGTTTCCTTTCTTCTTTTTTGCTTTATTGCTTCCTCAGTTTGATGTAATAAATCTTTATCCTCCCCTGTGAGCTGAAATATGGTCAACTGCTGTTTCAATCTTTGTAGGTTTTCTGTCAGCCATTTAAAAAAGCTTTTGCTGCAAAAATATACAAGCTGATTTTGAGCAGGAATACAAGCATGCCACAAGCAATGATATCACAACTACAATGGATCTACAAATGATTTTTTGGGTAACCTTTTTCTCTTCTCTGTTTTTCAGACAGTTAGTACTAGAAGGAAACCAATAAGACACCACATATCTTAGATTTTCTTGCTGAACTCTATTTCCAATATTTTTAGCTGTGTTAGGAAATCATGGATAAAGAAGAGAATACAGGTAGTCTATGACTTATAACCACAATTGAGCCCAAAATTTTTGTTGCTAAGCAAGAAAGTTTTAAGTGAATTTTGCCTCATTTTACAACATTTCTTGCAATAGTCATTAAGTAAATCTGGCTTCCTCTATTGACTTTGCTTGTCAGACACTGTCTGGGAAGGTTACAGAAGGTTACAAAATATCACATGATAATTATATTTTGTGATCATGGGATGTAACAATGGTCGTAAGTATGAAAACCAGTCATAAGTCACTTTTTTCAGTGCCATTATAACTTTGAATGTTATAAGTACCAGTGATGGAGCCAACGGAGCCAGATCTTTAAAATGTGGCAGTATACTACTGATTATTATATTTATAGACATAGAGTAAGATAATTTATTTCTAAAAAGTGTAATTTAGATATATTGTTGGAAGACTGAGTATTCCATCACAGAAGAAACATAATAGCATTAAAAAGTCAAACTGCTACTGTACAATGAAAAATTATAGAAAAGTCTATTGTCATTGTGTGGTATTCAGCTAAGATAAATTATTGAATTCATATATGTATATATATACACACACATATGTATATGTATATGTGTATATATATGTGTGTGAATTATGTATATATGTGAATTATATGTATATATACATATAAATATACACATATACATATGTATCTACACATACATACACACTGTGAGGACCCACCCCACTTTGCATCTTAAGAAGACAGAACTCTTGGAATAATTCTTCCAACAGGAATCCTTTATTAAGAGAAAATGGTTGCAGGCATGCTAGACAGGACTTGGGGTTCAAGCTCTCCCATTCAAGGTTTTAAGGGGTTCCCCAGTAGTCCCACCCAATCAACCCCCCTTCCAGTGATAGTTTCAAGTATCACAATTCCATCCCCTTTCTTCTTCCGTCTGGATGGAGACTTCAGATAACTACATGAAAGGCAATTACTCTTCTTTGATATGTTAAAGCTTAGAGGCCACAATAAACACACATTCAGTCCTTTGAAGTGTGCTGAAGGAAGTGAGGGCCATAAAGCCCCTTTGCTCTCCCCCTTTTCTCCCTCTTATGGCAGAATCCAGAGAAGGCAGAATTGGGAGTTTCTATGTTTGATAATTAAAGATGAAATATAATTGGATTCTGACATCCGGCCCCTCTTAACAATAAGAGAGATCCACCTGAAAGAAAACACAAGTAAAAAATTTAGTTAGGCTTGTTAGGATACTCTGTGTGAAACTTCTTCAATAGCTTCGGGGCTCTGACGTGACGTTTATGGACCCACTCATTTTGTGAGGCAGGGAGGTGTTTCCAGGCAACTAGGTACTGAGTTGTTCCACGATATCTCCTAGAGTCAAGGATCTCTTTTATTTCGAAGTGTTGTTCCCCCTCCACCATGATTGGAGGTGGTGGGGGGGGGATTTTTGGCCGTAGAGGTGACTGATGCTCTCTTTTCAGCAAGCTGCAATGAAAAATTGGGTGTATTTGCCTGAGGTTTTTGGGTAATTCTAATTCTACTGTTACTGGATTTATGATCCTTTTAATTGGAAAAGGTCCTATATATTTTGGTCCAAGTTTTTTACAGGGCTGTAGGGACTTTAGGTATTTTGTAGATAAGTACACCATTTCTCCTATAATGAATGGTGTAGGCTCAACCCTTTTTTTATCGGCTTGTGCTTTGTATGCCCGCCTAGCTTCATCTAGTGATTTTCTGACTATTGGCCAGGTGTTTTGTAGGCTTTCCATCCATTCTTTCAGTGAAGGGATCGTTGGTTCTTTTGGGGTTAACTCTGGCATAGGGTTGAAACTTTGGCCGTTGGCTATTTGAAAAGGAGTGTAGCCTGTGCTGGAGTGGACTGCATTATTGTAGGCAACTTCTGCAAAAGGAAGTAAGTCCGTCCAATCACTCTGTTGGAAATTTAAAAAACATCTCAAATATTGCTCAAGTACCGACTGGCAGCGTTCCGCTTGTCCATCTGTCTGAGGGTGATGGCTAGATGTCAGTCCCTGAGTGGTCCCTAAGAGGGATAAAAATTCCTTCCAAAATGTAGACGTAAATTGCACTCCCCTATCAGAGATGATGCGTTGGGGTGCCCCGTGCAATCTGTAAATGTGCTGGATAAAAAGTTTTGCTAAGGCCTTTGCAGTGGGAATTTTTTGGCAAGGGATAAAGTGCACCTGTTTGGAAAATAGGTCCGTGACTGTCCAGATAACAGTATTCCCATTGCTTTCAGGCAATTCCACTATAAAATCCATGGCTATTTCCCTCCAGGGGGCTGAGGGACTTGCCACTGGTTGTAACAGCCCTGGCGATTTCCCTTGCAACCTCTTTGCTGATGCACAGGTTGGGCAGCTGGCAACATAACTTTCTATGTCCTTTTTTATTGATGGCCACCAAAATTGCC